AAAAATAAACCAAGATACTCTTGCACAGCAAAAAGGACCTGTGGGTTGTGGCACACTGACCTTTATCAAGTCAGCTCAACATATTCACAACAAGAGTTTCTTTTATATTTTTATATTATATGAAAAAACAGTAGAACGTCTGTAACCGTGAATGTCAAAAAGTTGTTTGAAAGTCCTCTCTATGCGAGCACAAAATTAGATGTTGCTATAATCTACAAATTCCCACAAATATCACGAAAGACATTAACTACGTTTCCTCAAATGTAACTGCACCTGTGCTCGTTCCTGACTCCAATCAGTGGATTCATCCAAAAACATCCGCTACGGCTCATACATGTAAATAAAGTGAGTTCATTATTTGTCGTTTCAGTGTGAAATTCGCTCTTGTATCAGGATAAATGTGATGAACACAAGCTTTTCCTTGAAACGCTGATGACCATCTGTGCCCTGCTCATGTTAATGGAGACTGCAGTGCCTCTCGGTGCAATAACACCAATGAATCATATTTCTATCAGCACAAAACTGAGCGGGAAGTTGACCTTCTTCAAGGGAAACATTTCTAGCCACAAAAGTTAATCTGCTCAGTAAAAACCCACTCTGATATGATCAGGACTGAAGGGCTTTTTAATATGAAAAACAAACAACGCAGGAACAGACGTTATGTCACGACCGAACTTTAAGAAACCTTCGTGTTGTCGTCTCCAAAGATTTAAAGTGATAAAAGTCTCTCTCCTCAGGGCAGCTTGGTATTCTCTCATAATGTTATTATATGACTTTTTAACTGTGCTGGTTTTGCTGATTAAAGCAAAAGTAAAAAATTAAGACAATCTCATGGTGTTGACTTTGAGTGGCAGAAATGTTGGTGTTGAGTTTTGTTTCAATCAGGCCCCTGGCACGTTTAGAAAATGATCTTTGCCCAATCCGTGCCTCTGTAATGAGACAAGCAGGGACATTATCTTGATTAAAATCAATTCCTATTGGATTACTCTATACGCTACATTCCCTCGCTCAGCTTCGCTCATTAGAATACAGCTCAGAAAACAGGAACCAGACTCTTCAAAGCGTTACATGTTCTGTACATGCATGGACAACCTGACAGATAATCCCTATACTCCTCTTAACCATGCTGTACTTTCCTCTAGTCGGAGCGAGGCTACACCTCCACAGGTTTCACATTCACTTGTTCCATCTCCATATTTTTTTCATTCTGTAGAAAATATGAAAATAATGGTTATAATATAAACCAGGGCATTGCCCCTGAAGGAACCATTAGAATGAGGTGAATAAAACGAGCAAAGAAAGGGAGTAAGGAGAAAGAGAAAATGATGCAAAGACAGAGGGAACAATTAAAAGAATGAACAAGTGAGGAGGGTGGAAGTTTACAAGGAAAGAAAGAGGGTGATGGAAGGAAGAGGAGTACAGGAATGAGTAAAGTGGAGCAAAGCAAAGATTTGAAGAGAGAAAAGAGGGGTGAAGAAATTAAGCAAATAAAAAACAAGAATGAAAAGAAGGACAGCGGACAAAGGGAAGTACAGAAGGAATGGATGAAGGACAGTAGGAAGGGAAAAAAAGAGCAAATTAAGAGAAAGGGAAGGATGGAGATAGGAAGGAAGGAGGGACAGAAGGAAGAAAGGGATTAGAGACAGGTAGGAAAGAAGGAAGGAAGGCAGTAAGGAATCAAGAAACGAAGAAGAAAGGAAGGGAGATGAGATAGGGTGGGGTGCAAAAGAAAGGATGGAGGAATAAAAGAAGGAAAAGAGCAAATGATGAGGAAGGGAACGATAGAAGGGATAGAGCCAATGAGGAAGGAACTAGGAAAGGAAGTGAACTAACTCATTAGTACTCGTCCTTCTGTCCCGTTCGGAGTCGCTTTGCCGCGCGCGCTCCGTCAGTAAACCGAGTCTCGCGCAGGTTGTTGTACCCATCACGCGCCGCCACATTCTTCCACACGGTGAAGTGTCGCGTTTCACCGGCGCATCTCCACCGGGCACCACCACCACCAGCCGAGCCGGGCACCACCACCAGCCGAGCCGGGCACCACCA